GGCGCGTCCCGTGCTAATACGTGTACGGCGTTTTGTTCTTTCTTTTTGAGATCGGTTAACTCTACTCGCCAACAGCACGAGTGCTTCCACTCGTTGGCGCGTCCCGTGCTGAGGCTGACAACACATATACAGCACGGGTGCTTCCACTCATTGGCGCGTCCCGTACTGATGCATGATTTGTGGTATTTCCTACCGCTGCGTTGAATTCGGTTAACTCTACTCGCCAACAGCGCGGGTGCTTCCACTCATTGGTGCGTCCCGTGCTGATACGTGTACGGCGTTTTGTTCTTTCTTTTTGAGATCGGTTAACTCTACTCGCCAACAGCACGAGTGCTTCCACTCGTTGGCGCGTCCCGTGCTGAGGCTGACAACACATATGCAGCACGGGTGCTTCCACTCATTGGCGCGTCCCGTACTGATGCATGATTTGTGGTATTTCCTACCGCTGCGTTGAATTCGGTTAACTCTACTCGCCAACAGCGCGGGTGCTTCCACTCATTGGCGCGTCCCGTGCTGATACATGTACGGCGTTTTGTTCTTTCTTTTTGAGATCGGTTAACTCTACTCGCCAACAGCACGAGTGCTTCCACTCATTGGCGCGTCCCGTGCTGAGGCTGACATCACATATGCAGCACGGGTGCTTCCACTCATTGGCGCGTCCCGTACTGATGCATGATTTGTGGTATTTTTCTACCGCTGCGTTGAATTCGGTTAACTCTACTCGCCAACAGCGCGGGTGCTTCCACTCATTGGCGCGTCCCGTGCTGATACATGTACGGCGTTTTGTTCTTTCTTTTTGAGATCGGTTAACTCTACTCACCAACCGCACGAGTGCTTCCACTCATTGGCGCGTCCCGTGCTGAGGCTGACATCACATATGCAGCACGGGTGCTTCCACTCATTGGCGCGTCCCGTACTGATGCATGATTTGTGGTATTTTTCTACCGCTGCGTTGAATTCGGTTAACTCTACTCGCCAACAGCGCGGGTGCTTCCACTCATTGGCGCATCCCGTGCTGATACATGTATGACTTCGTGTTTCGTTGCGTTGAGATCGGTTAACTTCCACTCGCCAACAGCACGGACGAGTGCTTCCACTATTGGCGCGTCCCGTGCTGGTGCGTGTCCTTGTTTTTTTTATTTTCATTGAGATCACTTCCGCATAGACAATCCTACGGCAGGTTGACGAGTTTTTGGCATGCATCAATTGCTGTCCGGGCGTTTTTGGTCGCTTAATCGTCGATGGACGTGACGTATTCTTATAGAAGGTTTGTGTCACGGCGGCAATAAATTTGACGTGATGCCCCTCGAGACCGTGATGCACTCACATGGACCGCTACCTGACGTTCCTCGCGAGTTCGAACCTCGCGTGTCACATCCACCTCCCCCCCCTATTTTTTTCTCATCTTCTTTTTCCTTATGCATACAGCACGTAGTTCGCTGTCTCGTTTTTTTTTTCTCGTCTTCATTGTTTTTCAGTCTTTTTCTTTGAGTCTTTCTCTCGCATGCATGTGTTTTTGCTTTTATCCGTTCCCGTGAATGCTGTTGAATGCACTTTCCGATTACGTATGCGGCCGCTTTGTATGCCATGGGACTTGTCGATACCATCAGTGGGGACTTGTCAATACCATCCGTGGAGACGATTGCTTACGTGAGTGGGCATATTATCGTCGATTCCTTCAGCTATATGCCCCTCTGTGCGCGGCACAGACAAGATTGTACCGGCAAGTAGTCCCTAGTAAGCCGGGGGAAACAGAAAACAAGGCACCTGCCTCATGTGCATAATCGTGACAGCATCATGCCCTACTGCCGCGGGTCGATTGGTTATGTCCGATGCCGCAGGGTTCCTACACCCCGTGCAGTACAATGGCTGCTATCAACCGCGACAAGTCAGCGTGCGACCATACAACAGGCCCCGCTCTTTCTTTTTGCCGTTGAATTTTTTCTTCAGAGAGAGTACGTCTGGTTGGGACGAACCGCATTTTTTTTCTTCAGCGAGAGTACGTCTCGGTTGGGATGAACCGCATCCCATGTTTGGGAAGGGACCTATCTGAGCGGCGCGGCGAGCGAGACTGCGTTGGCTTGCCGCCGCTTATCTTACTGCACCCTCCCCCCTCGTGCTAAATGCACGCAGCGGTGAGGTCACAAGAGTAGCGGGACGCGAATAGGAACACGGCCGACACGATGGATGTTGGACACGAGTACACACCTTTATATGGAGAGTCGCGTGCTGGTCACTTCCCCAATGCTTGCGCCGTGTCCCGTCCCGCCCTTTTCTAAACTGCCGCCGCTACTGCGTTAGGCGGCTGCTGCTGTCCTTCCGTTGCTTCACGCGCTCTGTAGCTGTCACACGTTACCCGACTTTGCTACAGCCCCTGCGTGGACTCGATCACGGAATGACACCCCCAACTATAGACTAATAATTCCAAACACCGTGACCCTGGGTTTCCGGTAGAAAATGAAGCCAAATTCTAATTCGACTGTTACAAAATAAACACCAGTTTATTCTATCTGCTTCGACGAACAAACCTTCCTATCTTATGGCGCTGTTTGAAAGTACTAAATTCATTTCTGCTCAAAGAAGGTACAACGGGCTTTTCGGATTTACTGCATTAGGCGCAGGCGGTATTCTAAAAAAGGCATGGACTGAACCGCCAGCCCCTTCAATGCTCACCTTGCATGGACGTGCTTACCACCGCATATTTGACCTCCAACAACATTGGGAGAACTATTCTGTGTCGAAGAAATCATCGCAGCTAAACGAATTTTTGATGCTCAGATAAACATCCACTTTAATGCCTCCACATTACCTCCTCCCCAACAACCTCTTTCTTCTGCTCTAAATTTACATTATACGGTTATAACACGTACACGCTCTTACATCGATCTCCCCAATAATTGCATTCTGCCGCCAGCGCAGGCACCCTACCGCCTGCACCATCACCGACATCATCACGGCCATCACCGTCGCGCTTCAAGATTAAGAAGCTCGAGACCTGCGCACAAGGCTGCAGACGAAACCATACCTTCCGCAGTGGTAATCGGCAATAACCACCAGGGCCGTAAGGGGCAACGATGACCCGAGGCGGGAGGCGTCAACTCTTTGACCGTCAACTAGCGTCCACTTTATCTGAATGTTGTAGGTGTTCGCCTCCTTTCACATTGTAAGGGATACAGCATATCGTCGTCATTAGAGGGGGTCATTAGAGAAGGGCGCGGCATTAGACTGAATAAATTAGAATATGACCATTCGAGCGGGGCGACACTGAAGAAGTTAGAATAACAGCTCCAGAACATTAGAGGAAGGCGCGACACTGAAGAAGTTTGAATATGAGAGCTAGGCGGCAACACACCATCAACTACCGGCAATACCGTCGAACAATTGCCGTGTTCGTTCTTTCTTTGGTCCCTTTGGGGAGGATATTGGCCACCGCAAAGCCAGTAGAGAACGTTGCCTGAGAGTGCGACTACGTTCTCACCAGCGCAAGAATAGGGAGGCGAACGTAGCTAGACAACAATTCACGTACACGCGACTTTTTTGGCTTCATGTTACACCGGGAACGACACACTCCTCGAATACGACGCGAACATCTTCGCACCGTTCATTCGATCACCCTGCGGCTTCATGCCCTTGGTATGCTGTGCACAGCCTTCACACTTTCCCTTTAAGCCTACTACTGAGGACGAGGGCGCCTCTGCGCCCGAAGTCCGGAGCCCTTGTATATATAACATGATGTATGCGTTCCATGGCGGTTGAATTTTTCCGTGCTGCTGTTGTTTTCAGCTCTCCGCAAACATCAACGGTCGTTGGGCGTCCTCGACGCACCTATGACAGTGACCAACGGGGTCACGGGGACGAACGACCGACGTCTCGTCGACGGCATACAAAGTGCGATGTGCGTTGCCAAAGACATCATGTGACCCGCACAGTACGTCCCACGCGTGCGGTGGGCTGTCCTTGTCCTCTCTCTATGGATACCTACTCGAACGCGGTGGATAGCATCCCTTGGACGTCCGACGAGTCGGGTGAGACGTCCAATGGCTGTCCCATGGCACACTAGGGGCGTCATTGGGACACGTGGGCCGGCCAATGGCTTGCCCATGGGACCCGTGGGTCGGCCAATGACTGGCCCATGGGATACATGGGCCGGCCAATGGCTGTCCCACGTGTCCCATGGGATATTAGAGGCGTCCCTGGGACACCTGGGACAGTCATCGGACGTCCCGTGGGACATCCATGAGGCTTATTGGATATCCAATGCTTGAGGGGAGCCCTACAATACATGCGTTGCAGGCGTCCTGTGATCCGCCGTCCTACCGCTTTCTGTAGACAGACGCCAAGGAGAGTTAGCGCGTCTATTACTGTATATATGTGTATTCCATCACATTATTATTAATAATAATAGCGCTCTGGCGCACGCCACGTTAGCCGTCCCATGGCTGTCCCAGGGACGTGAAAACCAAGCAGGATGGCACACGTTTTGCTCGGGTCATGATGCTGTGGTGTGTGGACGTCGATGTACAGTGGCAGCGGTCTACGGAGGCTGGTGCTCATCGCTCATCGTGCATATGTTCGTGCCGGGGTGTGTGTGTGTGTGAGCCAACGGCAGAAGCAAAAACACAACGGCCGAACGGGGCTCGTGTCTGAATCGGGACACCCCATTTTGGAGCCTAGACTCCCCCGACCGCCTCGGCCATTTGCTATGCCCACGCACGGCGCCTTCCTCCGCGCACACCTGCTGCCTGCGCTTCCTCTTTGTGTACAGCGGCACGGGCGAGGAGCCATCCTCGGGCTGTGTCTCGCAGCAGCACCGCAGCATGTATGCTGGAAGGTTTACTCGCTGATTCGTGCAGCCCGTGGCCTCTGTCGTCGTCGGATTTTTTTTCTTTGTGCTCTGTGCTGCTGTGTGATGGAGCCAAATCAGCCACAGCCGTGATATTTTTCAGCTGTTATCTTTCTTCCCCAGAGCAGGCGGGGGTCCGTGACTGCGCATCCTACGTACGTCTTGGCAACTCCACTGCGCATCCTGGTACACTAAAACCAGTATCATGTCTTGCCCAGAGAGCTAGTTTGTGCGCAGTGCATTTTCTGTCTGGGCATTTCTGGGCATTTGGGGTTTGCAGCGAGAGAAGCCAAGGCGAGACGGGGCCGCGGAGGCGAGCTAATATCGCGGCGAGATCACAGCAATAATACCCGGGGATACAGGCCGACCGGCAGCAGCAGCGCTCGAGAGGAGGCGAGCGGATCATGGCTGCTGCTGCTGGATCAGGAGGTCGTCGTGGCGGGCCGGCGACACGGTATGAAGCCCCCGCTCAACAAATGTTCATCTGCCACATGTGCAAGGAGTACAAGAACGCTGGTGAGACACGAGTAGCTGTCAAGAGCGCGGCAAATCCTTGTGGGTGGGACCATTTTTGCTGGTTGTGCTCCATGTCTGAGCCCGAGCTTCAGCGGCGAGCAGAGTGGAACGAACATCCGACCGTGGACAATACCGGGGTATATGGGAGTGTCGCGCGTGCGAGTAGCGGCCCAACTTCACGGCAACCGCCCGGCCCAACCGCACAGCAATCACCAACAACAAGGTCCGCCGAAGGTGTTGTAGCAGGTTGTGCCGCCGCCGAAAATCTTGACGGCCCGCGGCTCGGTATCTCATCATCGACGGTTGACGATGATGACGAGGGCATGGAGGAGGTACAAGAGCTTGATGAAGAAGCTCCCGAGAAAGAGGCGACGGACAGGGATGCGTATCGCTGGAACAACCGCGGGCTGCAGGATGCGATGTCTAGGGCAGTCAAGGCGATTCTCCAATACCTTCCGACAATTACCGGAGACGGCAGCCTGCTTCCGCCGGGGACGAGGGGTCGAGGTAGCGACAATGTACGCTCGCCCAGGCTCGAAGCTGCCGCATTCAAGCGCCGTTTCCCGAATTCGCCCGTATGTAAGCCGTTGGAAAGCGTAGAGACTCGGGCTATCGAGGCGATGCAGCCGAGTGCGGCGACCGGAGCGATGCAGGACAGACCTAAGAAAGACGAAGATTTGGGGCATCGCTTGCGGGAAGCGGCGATGGCAACTTTCGCTACGATCGACGTGGAAATCGCTCCGTACGTGCACGAGGTTATTTTCTTCGAAGAACTGGTCCGTGACGATCGATTTAAGGCAAGTTTGCAGCAGCGGCCGTGCGTGCCATCCCTACAAAAGAGTGGATTCCTGGTGATTTCCATTTGAAGCAATAGTCAATGTATTGACAAATAAAATTGGTCCCGCGAGTGTGTGTGTAGAATGCGGGTTCGACAGCAGGAAGCCGGCTCGAGAGGCAGCGACCGTTGTTTTGCGCAACTCTGGTTGTGCGTGTGTTTCTGTTTTTGTTTGTTGTGCAGATCGTCCTATTTTATTATCATATGTACATACATTGTATAGCAGCCGCAACCCTGTCATGTAGCCTTCCTCGTCCAATAGAAAAAGACTCCGAAGATTTTTCATGCCGAAACAGACCAAACGGGATGATTCTTGCGTGGCACTTGCTGCAGGTGAACACCAGAGGTGGGGCGGGAGTGAGGATGATATGCCCTGGATGCAAAAGCAACAAGTTTGTGAAGCCTCCAGGGGTATCGGGGCACGGGTTCCCCTGCATGGGTGCGAAGGTGTGGAGAGCATGTGCTTGTGTGCATTCATCATTTTTATCTTCCTCGCGACTGCTTATCGAGTAGGGTTCCAAGGTGTAAAGCGTGTTTGTGTTTGTGTGCAATCATCAGTTTTATCTCCCTCGCGACTGCCTGTCGAGTGCTTCCATCGTTTTAGTGTCGTGAAACATGAAACGTTGTGCAGCTGACAGGAGACAAGGGTTCATCTGTATGCCGACCTTAAAATTTGTTGCAAACGATGCCTCCCATGTTTTGGATCTGGTTGCCTGCACGTGCTCTATGCGTGTGTTGCTTTGGCAGTTGCGAGTGGCCCACGACGTAGCCGGGGTGGTGGTGCCAGTTACGGGCAGATACGCCTGTCTGGGTCCAGGGTGCCCTTTGAGGTTGGAGAGTGCGAAGCGATCAGCCGCGAGAAAAAAAAGTGTGGTTGCCGACGACGGGTGGGATGAGGACACCATCAAGAAGCACTGCCCGAACGGCGTGAGCTTCAACACCATGGACGAAAGGTACGGTGCTTGTTGCAACGATTTCAGAGCTTCCACAGGTCGCTGCTTGCGGGAGACCAGGGCCAAGAAATACGGCACATGCGGCGGTACTACCGTTTTGTGAGTAAGCAACAGGAGATCGAGAGGAAGGCAGGCAGAGGGCCTACGCCGTGGCCACCGTGGAAGTTCAACCGCTCGTCAATAACCGCGACCCCGTCCGTCGCCGTGTTGAACACAATTTACGCGGCTGGGCACGAGGAGGTGAGAGTCAGCAGCTCTAAATCCGGCGGCCAGTACACTGTTTTCTATTCCATGTGTTGGTATTTTTGTTTCTTCGCGTTTCTACCCCAGAGTAACATCTTGGCGCCGTCATTGTGGAGAACATTGTGCTAATTTTTATTTAAACGTTCTCGGGGCGAACTTGTCGCCGGCTTATTTTGTTTTTGCTATCGTTTGACAGGATAAGGGCCACATGCATCGCGAGCTGCTTTCCCTGGTCGACGGTCAGTTTGTTAACGCAGACGGCTCGTACCGCCTCATTGGGAGGGCGAACCACGACGCCCACTGCCTGTATAGTCTGATGCGGGAGGATGCGAAGATTCACGCATACGGGGCTCTCAAATCCGAGAGCAAGGTTGAAACTTTGCCCCTCTACAAGAGGTGCGTTAATGTGAGCTAGCCGAGACCTCTCCTGGTGTTTTGCATAAAAGCTTATTCTGTGCGCATTTTATTTCATGTGGGTGACTGACACGATAGTATTGTGTTCTTAGTCGTTCTTGTTTGCGCCGCTGCCGGGAAACAAAATGCACAGGTACGCCGAGAGGCGGAGGAGGAGCGGCACGTTGACCACCCTGCAGTGGATCATCGATGACTTGTGCTGCAGAGGCGCTAAAGACGTCAAGCAGTATTTCCTGATGAACATTTTCCCTGGAGTGGTCGGAGGCCACTTGGGGATGCATTCCATATGACGCAGGTGCAATGAGCATGCATGAATAGGGTGCGAGAAGTCGGTTCCGGTTCCTTGTTCTTGCGTAATGGTGCGCGTGTAATTTGAGGAGAAAAGTGGCTAAGTTAAAGTAAGGGCAGACAACGCCCTTTTATGCCCATAAAATTCCGGTCGCGAGCAACCCCGCATTCATTTTGATCATCGCCCCCTTCCCCCTTTATCGCGCCGACGACTTCACAACCGTCACTACCCTTGCAGAATACGGTGGGTGCTACCACCTCGAAGGACCATGTACGGAAGGTCATTTTCGCAAAGCAGATAGGGAACGGTGCCCGTAGCAAGTACCAGCCTGACGTGGACAAGGTAGCAGATTACCTGCAGCGCACTCAGAGGAACTTGACCAGGGTCGAGGCGGAGGCAACGGCTCGAACGAGGGCATGGGGTCCGTATGTACGGACCTTTTCCCGCCCAGCGGAAGAAACAATCGCTGACCTGGAGAAGGTCGTAGACGAGCACGCGATCTTGGACGAGATTGGTCGCAAGAGAGGCGAGCTCCCGCTACTGCGACCGGAGTTGCCGACTGGGAAATCAGGCCCGATAGGCACGAGGTCGGCACTGAAAAAGCTCTTCGCCTGCCTACGGAAGGGATGCGGGCAGGATCCGTTGGGTGTGGACGACATGTGAGTGGGTGTGCTACTGCTGTACCTCCGTACATGTAGCGAGTATACCACTAAGGAATATTAGGCCGCGTGCTGCCGTTCGTGCGTACTTATTAGTGTCAACGCATACGCTCATTTAGTATCAACCCTGTTTGCTTTCGTTCGGCTTCTTTCGCATCAGGTACATTTCGCTTGGTGTGGGGCCGAAGACCGGCCTGACGAAGTGGTCGAAGAAAGCGGGCACGGGCAAGAACGAGAACTTCCACGGCAACATCAACCGTCTTGTGCATGGCGTGTCTCGCATGAGCGCCCAAGCGTGCGGTGCGAGGCTGATGCAACGAATCCACCGCCATAACCTCGACATGGACCGCAAGCATGGACGCACGAGCAAGCAAACAACGCAATGGCAATGGAGGGAACGCGACGCCAACGACGCAGCGAAGGAGTGCGGTGTGGAGGTTCCTTTTCCCAAGGCGGGTCCCCGTCCAAATGTAAGCTCCGGCCGGCTGGTGAACAGCCTCGGAGGCGGGGTCCGACAGTAGGGGGGAGAGCGCCTGCGTTTTGTGTAAAGTTGATTTGTTGCTATGCGATCTTGGTTGAGAACAAATGTTGTTGGAGTGTTCATTTTCACTCGAGTAACGCCCCTACGACACCTGCTCCGATGTGTTTTGTACGTGTGCTTGTGTCTATGCGTTACTGCCGACGATACACAATTACGGCAGGTGGCGGACGAACACTTGGAGCCAATGGGGTTCGAGTACTACGACAAGAACAGAGCCGACGAGTTGCGAGTTTGCCGGGACACCGCCGCCGTGAACGTGGCGGCAGCCCGCAGAAGGGAGGGGCGGAGTACGAGTGCGCGTTCACAGAGCGGTTCCGTCAACACCCGCCGTCCTCCTCCGTTGCCCACAGCGGGAGGCATCGGAGGGGTTTGGGCGACGGCGGGGGCGGGGGCGGGGGCTGGGGCGGGGGCGGAGGCGGAGGCTGGGACGGAGGAGGCGGTGGCGGCGGCGGCGGCCGCGGCCGCGGGGGCAGGGGCGGCTGTTGTGGCGGCA